ATAATAAAACACTGCATGATGTATGGTTGCCAAAAAAGTACAGACTTTGAAGTGTACTAAAGATATAAAGTGAAAGGCGGCTCTTTGAAGGACATTTCTAACAGCTGTTTTGTCCAAAGCTAACTGAAATGCATTTCATATTAATATAATAGTAAAAAAATATATTTATATATATATATATATATATAATTACCAATACTACTTGAAATTATCCATAAATCCCATAAAAGTTAGATTTATGTTACTATTTAGCTAACTAGCGTTGCTATGTGCTTTTAGCTTTTGACAGTAAGAACCATTTGTAGTGTTTCCACATGTTAACCACCAGATGTCAACAGTGAGCTTTTAAACTCTTAAAACCTCATAAACCCATATTTTATTCACAGTAGTGGAAAAAGTAGCATTTTAAGAAAAACAGTAGCTCATTTTGAACTTAATACTAGCAATAAAAAAATAAAAAAAGTTGGGATGGGGTCAACAAAAAGCTGGAAAAATGGAGGAACATTTTAGGTTAACTGGCATAAAGATTAATACTCAACATGATTGGGTATAAAAAGGCCTTTTAAAGAGGCAGAGTTTCTCAGAAGTAAAGATGTGCTGAGGTTCATCAATCTGCAAAAAAAAAAAGGCATCTGCAACTTGTGGAACAATTTCAGAATAACATTTGTCAACATATAATTCTGAAGACTTTGAATATCTAATTATCTGCAGCTTAATATCTTCAAAAGATTCTGAGAATCTGGAGAGATCTCTGTGCTCAATAAAATTTGGGTTTATGGGATTTGCAAATCATTCTGTTTTTGTTTGCATTAAACACAGCACTAAGCACAGCAGATCTCTGTGTATTTCAGTTGGAGAACAATGGACTCCGAGAGCTGCTGGGAATCAGTCGGGAAGCTTTTCTGGTTCTGAAGAGAGACGACCAATCAGACAGCACGTCGCTGTCGCCACTGCTCACCAGTGCCGACGTGAGCTTACGAAAAAGTTAGAGCCCAGGGCAGCCCACCAAACCCGCCCACCTACTGCTGCCGCTGTAGGGTACAGAGTCTACAGCCTGTTACCACGTGACCACTTCAGATGATGAGTCTCCTGGTGCATTTAGAACATCGCTGCTCCAGACCTGCATCCCTGTCTGATGATTCGGGCAACAAGCAGCGAGCCAACCCCCTCCCTTTATTCTTTTTCTTGTTTCTTGGTACTGCTGTAACGTTTTGTTCATTTTGGCAGCATGCACGAGCCCGCAGTGCCTGCAACATTTTAAGTTGTAAATGAGTAAATGAAGGGCTTGAGTTCAAATAAATCTATAAGCAAGAAAATTTGTCTGTAGAGTTTGTGTCACCTTCCAAATGTCACACGTTTCTTGTTCTGTTTTGGTTGCTCCTGCAGATACACAACTTCTCACTTTCACTACTCGTGTCAGTAAAAGTGGTTTCTATTCCCACCAATATTGTCACTGGCGGGAATAGAAACCATATCCACAGAGGATCTGCTCCAAAGGGTGAGGTGCATCTGCTGCTAGCTGTGGAATAGAAAATTTCAACACTGTCAAACCACAGTGTAGTTATACTCCACTGAAAGGCTTGTAAACAAGTGCTTCATTGTTTCACTGTTGCACATTTATATCATTAGATTTTTCAGTAATTTTATCCACTACTTGAAAAAAAGAAAAAAATATATACATATATATATATTATTGGAAAGCAGTCAGTCTGTGCATTTTAGAGGATGGAAGAGAATATTTGTGGTATTATTGCATACAAAGTGAGATGACTGTAATAAGAACTTTTCATAAATTGGCTATTATTTCAATCCAACTTGTGTTGGGGGAATAGAATTTAGACCAGCTGAAAAGTAGAAGTACATCATATTTGGACTTGGGTGCAGTCTTTAAGTTATCTTTCCCCATATTTTTTTACTGCAGACGCAAGGCACACCAGAGGGATGTTAGAAAGCATCCACCCATTCTATGGTTTATATTTGAAAACTTAATTTAAATGTAACTGCTGGTAAAGAGCAGCTCGTGTGCTGCTTTGTGCGCACATTAAATAGTGTCTGCCAATTAGTCTCCTGTTGTGATTTGTTACGGTCTGATGGACAGATCTAATCGAACTGAGACACGGCTAATGAGGTAAAGTCATCATTAATTAATTAAAACGAATTTAAATTGTAAATAAATAATTGTTTAAATGTTTGAAATGAAATTAATTTAATACATCATTTATATATTTTGTTAATTAATTGTTTAACGTTTTATTTAATTATTGACACATTTAATTTGATGTATCGAAGTCACTCGAGATCGTGTTGATGGTTGGTGACGCCAGAGGGAGGTAGGGATATCGCGGGACGGAGGACGAGAATCTCGCGGTGGCTTCGTTAGGCAGTCAGAGCGGCAGAGGGAGAAGGTTGGCTCAGGCAGGCTTTCACGTCAGTGAAGCATGTCGCTTTCGAGTTTGCAGGGACTCTTACTACCCAAACACGGGACGCTGCCACATTACCAATGATTTTACGGAGGAGCAGATAGAAAAGGGTTTGTTAAGAATTCAAAATAGAGAGGCGGAAAATGTCTCGGTGGATTTGGTTCCCGCTGCTGCTGCTACTGCTTCTTCAGTTGGTGTATGAAGTTGAAGCGCAGGTAGAAAGTGAGTAGCCTTACCAGAGGATTTTTTTTTCTTTCTAATCTGATGCAAAGTGACTTTCGGTTTTAGAAACCTTTAAATGTAAATGGTATATAATCAAAAAGCTATCATATTCAAACTAGTAGTGTTGTGTTTGGGCTGCAGGACACTAGAGTTGCCCTCTTGTATGGCATTAGCTAGCTAATTAACGCGTTATTCTATGTAACGGACTAAAACTGTCTATTTATCCCACACAATTTAATTCGGTTATGTTTAAAGTTTGAAATAAGGGGATGCTCGTACACAGGATGTTAGTCGTGCCTAACCCTATTGTGAGTTAAGCTCTGCGTTTAAAGCTGTCCTTAACGAGTATGCCGAGATTTACAGGTCCAGGTAGCTTACTTACATATTTTATCTGCAAACAGGAAATGTAAACAGTAATCTGTCTCAGATGTGGTGGAAGAGGCAGCTAGGTCTTACCATAAGAAGAACCTTAGACGAGCCACAAGAAGGAAATCAGAATTTAAATTGCCTCTGCATAAATTGCAGAAGTAAGACTGTCATCCAGGGGGTGCTACTTTGAAAGTAGTGCATCTAAATCAATTTATCCAAATGTAATATATATATATATATAATATGATTACATATAAAGGGCTCAATAATTGTCAGTTAAGCAGTTCGGCTGATGCAAAAAGCAAAGATGGTAGTCAACACGATGCAAAGTGATTGAACTTGTGTTAGACCAGACTCTGCCCTGAGGCTGAAGTTCTTTCTGCATGTCAGGAGTGCGTAGGCACCTTTGCAGTGTGTGTAGCCTGCTTTGAAATTAACCAGTCATGTTGTCCCTACCTCAAAGCGCTAAATTAAAATCACTGACCAGGTCAGCAGGATCTGTCAGGAATGATAAATCTAAAAGCACTGATAATCCTGAGCTGTGTGTGTTTTGAAAACTTCAAAACATTCTTTGATTTTCACACAGCAACTTAATGAATCTTGCAAAAAGTTACCTCACACATTGTGAGCCTCTCGTCCTCATAACACACAGTCTTCGATGTTTGAAGTCTTCCCACACAGTTCCTGCTGAGGAACTATGCAGTAATAGTTAAGGAAGTGTGGAAGATTGCTGTGTGTGAGTGCAACAAAACCAGAAGTGTGGCCTAACTGAAAACAAGTGCAGTTACCAACACAGTGTTTTGTTTTGTTTTGTTTAATTATTACCAAGATTCACTTTTATTTATATGGCGCCAAATCACAACAACAGTTGCCACAAGGCGCTTTATATTGTGAGGTAAAGACCCTACAATAATATAAAAATGGCATAATCATGTTCACATTTCACTGTCTGTTCTGTGTATCTGCATCATCTTTCAAAGAGGGGGAAAAACAGTTGTTTTCCAGTGTAATCTGTTCTTTTTAAAGGGCCGTATGATGCCACATTTGTAGCTGTCAGTCTTGGTGCCTGAATTATGCTTCATTGTCTTAATATTTCAAATACAACTGTTAAGTGTAATCAACACTGGCCTATGATTAAAAAAAAACCCTCATTCTGATTGCCTTCAGTTATGGTTAGAATTAGAGGTCTTCACCGGAGCTTAGACCGCAGTGGGTTATATATAATCAGGCGAATGAGTCAGAAATGGCCAGTAAGGAAACTTCAGCCTGTAGTTTGATGTTAAGTGAGGACACTGATAAGATATAGGCTGCCTGATTGGTTCCAGTTATTGTGGAACTTTGTTTTATGGAATAACGCAGATCTGTTAGAAAGAACATAAACAAAACGAAAACCAGTAGTCATGTAAGCAGATGATCAGAAGAAGAAGACATGTTTTATGAGTCTAGTCTATCAAGCGGTTTATAAATACATGTTTTGTTTTGTTTTCTGAACTGAATCTCTGTATGCAGATCTTTACACAACAGGAAACATAATAAATGAGCAGCTGACATTTTACAGTTCGGGTCCAGCCATCACTCTGACAAAGCCTCCACTTTCTGAGATGTTGAAGGATGTTTATGGTGCCATTTAATCAACGTATCAAATTTAGATGGTACACTCGATTATTTCCGTATAGTAGCCTCGGCACAGAGAGCACGCCTTCGTTCAGGCTTTTGTGTGATTAATCGGTTTTAGGATCTGGTTTAAGGTGGCGTGTTTGGCTTATCACCTACTGTCAAAACTGCTGCTGTGTCAGATGATTAGCATTTTACTGTATGTTGACTAGTACCAGCTACAACCTGCCAGCCAGTCTTCTTTTCCACAGTAACTTAGACCGACTAAAGCAGGAGAACAAATACTGTGTACAAGTACTGTGATGAATTTATCATAAACTTTCTTGGACTAGGCTTATAAAAATCAGCGCTCACATGACTTTAAATTTAATTTTTGTCAAATTTTATCTGAACCTCTTTAAGTACTGTTAAAGATCCCTCTGTGGTAATCACATCCCTTTCAACTTGTGCCTCTCCACCACTGTGTCAGAAGACTTTATTTTAATTTTTGGAGTGAGTGAGATACATTTGGCGAGCAGGCCGGGTGGTGAGTGATGTGACTAAAAGAGAACCAAAAATCCTGATTTACAGAATACATAAATCACACTTTCCCCTTTCTTGCTCAGACCGGGTGATTTTCCTGCCGGGGAGGTTCCAGAACGTGAGCATCTCGCAGAATGAGACGGTGCAGGCGGTGGTGTCCACGATCCCATCAGAGGTCGCTTTCATCACTCTGCAGTTCCACACGCAGCATCGAAACGCAACAATCTCCTACACAAGGGTGAGGAAATGCTGAGATGTTAACCTCTGGTGTGAAGAGGTGGAAAGAGCAGTGAAAGTGTGCACTCAAGTAGAACTGCTGTTGAAATATTACTTAATTAAATGAAAAAGAACTGGTGTTGTCAGTAATAGACTGTATATAAAGGTTGGCTGTACCCACAGGGACATCACCTTTTAAAGGCTTAACTTTTTTGTTTTGTTTTGTTCCTCCATTAAAAACGCACCAACGCCACCAATATCACTTTGTCAGTAGGCAAGTAGACAAATTTGAAATTCGAATATTGCAATAACCGTATCGTGATGAACCTGCTTGTTCAACAGAAAGCCAGCAGCACACTGATGATACCACGTAGGTCACATGGTTACGTTTTTCTGAACACTTCGAAGTTTAAACTTTAGCTTCATGGCGGGTACCATTATTTCCCTGCACGGCTGTTATTCGAGCAGAGATAAGCTGTCAAGATCAAAACTGTTTTTTTGTAAATGGCTGTAAAAATATTAATTTGATTCAATTTAATACGATTTGCTTTGTCACTATCGTTTTAAAGCTTTTGAGGCTGCCATTTCTTACTCAGCCACATTCTTCAGTAAAACTGTGTAGATATATTGTGTTAATACTTCACATTTGGCATATATTTAGGACACAACATTGAAACTAACAAAGCCACAAATACAACAAATTGTAATAGTGGGTATTTGTTTATTTTAGTGTGTTCTCCTCGGATGCTAAGTAAATATTAGTTCATTTAGATGGATGTGGGTGGCAAACAAGAAGTTTACAGTGATTTTAGTAACCAGCTGGCTGAGCTGTCATTGGTCTGTCCTCAGGCCTTTGTGAATCCAGAAACGTGTCATGACAATTAGTGAAGGCAGCTAAAGTACAGTTT